TAAGGTGGTCTGGTATTCCCATCTCTTTAAGAGTTTTCCACAGTTTTTTATGATCCACACAGTCAAAGGCTTTAGTGTAGTCAATGAAACAGAGGTTGATGTTTTTCTGGAATTCCCCTTGCTTTCACTATGATCCAGTGGATATTGGTGATTTGATCTCTGTTTCCTCTGCCTTTTCTAAACCCAACTTGAACATGTGGAAGATCTTGATTCACATAATGCTGAAGCCTGGCTTGAAGGATTTTGAGTATAACTTTACTCGCATGAGAAAGGAGTGCAGTTGTCTGATAGCTTGAACATTCTTTAGTACTGCCCTTCTTGGGAATTGTGATGAAAACTGACCTTTTCCAGTCTTGTGGCCACTGCTGGGTTTTCCAAGTTTGCTGACATACTGAGTACAGCATTTAATAGCATCATCTTTTTGGATTTTAAATAGCTTTGCTGGAATTCCATCACCTCTACTATCTTTAGTGGCAGCAGTGCTTCCTAAGGCCCTCTTAACTTTACACTCCAGAATGTTTGGCTCTGAGTGAATGACCTCACCTTTGTGGTTATCCGGGTCATTAAGATCTTTTTTTGTACAGTTCTATTCTTGCCATCCCTTCTTGATCTCTTCTACTTCTATTAGGTCTGTTAAGGCATTTAACTTAAGACACATTGAAAAAGAGAAAGTCAAGTTATTTGACATGGGAATTTAAAAGGAATGACAGTGTTAAAATCAATGGAAATTTCAGTACTTTGTCTTCTGATTTCAGACTAGCTGAAAGGGTGTTAACTAAAAGGCTATTGACTATAATAGATAAAGATATAATTCTTATTTTTAATTTCTCAGAAATATTATTTTTATTTTTTGTGATTATACAAAGCTTATCTGAACAAAGTTATGAATTAAAGATGACAGAAGTCACTTAAATTTCTGTTCCATTACTTTTTGGCATATAGGGCTGGCTGGAGGAAGAGGAAGAAAAAAATGGGAGTTGACATTATACTGTCAACTGGAACTTACAAATTTACCTAGACCAAAACATGAATAAAAGTTTAAGTGGGCCCTGTTAACTGGTAAGAAAATAGATAAAATTAAAGTTGACGGATTATTTAGCTTATGTTGTCAATGTAGACAACTTTAGAATAGGAGAGGAAGTAGTGAGGACTTCTCCTTGTTACTAACTTGGTTTTTTATTTTTCTTCAAAGGAATGTTACATTTCAAGATCATTATAGGAAATATTGCTTACCAATAATTATGAGTTTAACAGTCTTAGAATAGTGAATTCATTTTTGTTGAAACAGTGGACAGAACAGGCTTTTCAGTGTTTTTATTTTTCAAATTCATACTGGTTATCAGTTCAAAATATTTTCTTTTTTGTTCTGTTTTCCTTTTTATTCTCAGAATGATTGTTAATGAGAAAAAACATGGAGCAGTAAATGATGCCACTTGAATCTTTTGGTTTCTCTTTCCCTCAAGTACTGAAATATGACATTCCATTCGTGATATTCTTTCTGGCCATCATGTTCTCTCTTTTCTTTTTGGCGTCAGAGTCCTTTCCAAAAGGAAATATGCTGCCTGGCATTCTGTATTACTCCTGATTTCCAGATGAAACAATCAACCAGATAGATGTTCAGTTCAGTTCAGTCGCTCAGTTGTGTCTGACTCTTTGCAACCCCATGAACTGCAGCACACCAGGCCTCCCTGTCCATCACCAACTCCCTGAGTCCACCCAAACCCATATCCATTGAGTCGGTGATGCCGTCCAACCATCTCATCCTCTGTCGTCCCCTTCTCCTCTTGCCCTCAGTCTTTCCCAGCATCAGGGTCTTTTCCAATGAGTAAGCTCTTTGCATCAGCTGGCCAAAGTATTGGAGTTTCAGCTTCAGCATCAGTCCTTCCAGTGAACACCCAGGACTGATCTCCTTTAGGATGGACTAGTTGGATCTCCTTGCAGTCCCAGGGACTCTCAAGAGTCTTCTCCAACACCACAGTTCAAAAGCATCAATTCTTCGGCGCTCAGCTTTCTTCACAGTCCAACTCTCACATCCGTGCATGACTACTGGAAAAACCATAGCCTTGACTGGATGAACCTTTGTTGGCAAAGTAATGTCTCTGCTTTTTAATATGCTGTCTAAGTTGGTAATAACTTTCCTTCCAAGGAGTAAGCGTCTTTTAACTTCATGGCAGCAATCACCATCTGCAGTGATTTTGGAGCCTAGAAAAAATAAAGTCAGCCCCTGTTTCCACTGTTTCCCCATCTATTTTCCATGAAATCATGGGACTGGATGCCATGATCTTAGTTTTCTGAATGTTGAGCTTTAAGCTAACTTTTTCACTCTCCTCTTTCACTTTCATCAAGATGAGGTGACATCTAAAAACAATGGAATTATATTTCTACAAACAAGACAGTAATTCAGATCTTCTTGCTTTAATTCTTCTCTGTTTTACCACAATGAAATATTTATCAAAGTCCAAGAGATTACTGATATGCAGTAGTGACCAGTGACTTCATATTAATAGAGCTATTCATAATAAACTCATCAGTGAAGTAACTGGAAAAAATTTAAACAGTGATTTTTCACTGTTCTGTTCATATAGTACTGAAACAACCATAGCATTCAAACACCCGGAAAGTACAAAACAGTAATATTAAATGAAGATTGATAGCTTCGAAATACTGCAGCATCTTAAAGTATCTTGTGAATGGCCAAAAACAGATAAAATTTTGGTTTAACTTTAATTTTTTCCCACAGAACTATATATTAAAAATACTGGTAATCCGTGTAAGATATATACAAAATCCTGAACTGACTAGATGGTTCAGTGAATAAATAATACTCCACACTGCTTTGTTGTTACAGACAAATGAGCTCTATTATTCAGTGAAACCCTTTTAAGAAGTTCTAGTCTGTAGAATGACGTCTTCAAATTATTTGGTCCTATTAGTTTTATTAACAAAAACTTTCCATTCCTTCTTGGTGGTGGTGGTGGTGGTTTAGTCACTAAATCATGTCCAACTCTTGTGATCCCATGGACTGTAGCCCGGCAGTCTCCTCTCTGCCCATGGGATTTCTCTGGCAAGAATACTAGAGTGGGTTGCCATTTCCTTCTCCAGGGGATCTTCCTGACCCAGGAATTGAACTTGGGTCTCTTGCATTGCAGACAGATTGTTTCCTGACTGAGCTATGATGTTTAATTCCTCTGAATATCATCTCTAAAAGGCCTGACTTGATAGTTGTCAGTATAAACCATAGGTCAAATGCAACCCTCCCGTATTTAGTCTATGGGCTCTTCATGAATTTCTGTTCCACATCCAACACAGTGTCTTGCCCGTGAGTTTTCCATTGGAGATTTCATGGTCCTTACTTCAACACTTTCCACAAAGTATCCCTCCCTTCTCTAGACGTTGGGTAGAATGTCAGATTAATAATGGCATGTGGTGTTCCTTAGCATACCTGCAAAATGTGATAATTTCCTTGGAAGAAAAGTCATGGGCTTCAGTCACGCATCTGAGTTGATAGACATCCAAGTGATTGCTATATAAAAAGAAAAGATTGGTGTTTTCTGGAATGTGAATGTCCACTTTTAATAAATTCAAACAGATCCGAACATAAATATCTTCAGACTTGATGGATTTTATGTGCCTTGTCATTTTACAAATTTTATCAGCACCAGATCTCTGAACATTATATAATCCAATCCACTGCATTTGGGGGGAAACACCTTGAAGGTACGTATATATGCTAAGTCACTTCAATCATGTCTGACTCTTTGCAACCCTATAGACTGTAACCCACCAGGCTCCTCTGTCCATGGAGGTTCTCCAGGCAAGATTACTAGAGTGGGTTGCCATGTCCTCCTCCACAGGACCTTTCTGACCCAGGGATCTTATGTCTCTTATATCTCCTGCATTGGCAGGTGGATTCTTTACCACTGAAGGTATACTCCGAGTATGAAATGTGGGCTTTTTGGTAAAATCTTCTATAGGGATAAATATCAGTTAGAGGATAATCTGTGAAAAACTTCTCTGAGTGGCTTAAATTTAAAAGATAATTCACTAACTTGCCAGTATTGATGAAAACATCAGTGTCTGTCTTCATGATGTACCTAACATTGGGGCAAAACTCAGTTATCCGCCTAAATGCCATAATCATCTTCAAGATCAGGTTATTGTTGTTATTGTTTAGTTGCTAAATTGTGTCTGACTCTGCCACCTCATGAACTGTAGCCTGCCTTTTCCTTCTCCAGGGGATCTTCCTGACCCAGGGATTGAACTCACATCTCCTGCTTGGCAGGTAGATTCTTTACCACTGAGCCACATGGAAAGCCCCAGGTGGTTATTGTATGTGACTATAAAAACTCTTGTATTATATTGCCATAATGGAGGTGTTTATCCTTTAAAGATAATGCTAACACTTTGTCTTCACTTTCAGCCTGTTGGCCCCATAAGAAAAATGTAAGAACCTCATATCTCCACCAAGACTTCTTTGCACCTCAAGTGACTCTAATGGCCTGTCTGACCTTCTCATCCGAGGGGTGCAGAATCACTAGGATGACAAGAAATGGGTTTTGATGAGAGTAGTTCGAATGCTCTTGAAGTGTGAAATGGAAGTCTTGTCTGTAAATGGACTCATAGAAGTACATCCAGTTCACACATTGTCACATGGTGGGGAGGCAGACTGAGGTGCCACATCACCAGGAAACGGAAGAGCAACAGCAGCAGGAGGCTCCATTGGAGGCATCTCAGTGACATCCTACCCGGAAGGGTGGAGCACTGGGCCCTTTAGAGCCACTCAGCAGCCCGTGAGCCACAACCCTAGGGGCTCCGTTTAATCTCAGCAGTCTATGATCATCTTCTTGATTTATTCCTTCTGAGCCAAAGACCTTCTGTTTCACCCACAGAACATTCATTAGTAAGAAGCAGTCAAAAATGACACTTGGAATTTGTACTGAAAAACAGAGACTCTCAGATTGGCTTAAAATTGTGCCATATACTGCTTATAAGTCACATACCTGTAGAATTTCTGATGAAACCAAAGCAGTAGCTGAAGTTTTTTGTTTTCCGTACTCCATGCTATCATCAAAAGATTTGCCGTGAACTACTCTCAGCCGCCTGGGGAAAGGCAAAACTCTTCCCATTTGAAGCCTGCAAACCCCGTATCTTCCTTATCTCTGGTGGGGCAGCTGATTGTCACGGAGACCTGAGCCTCTGGGTGCATATTATTACCTACTTACTGATGTCTGTTTGCCAGTATGACATGTATGCTGGACGCAGCATCTCCCCTTGCTATACCAGATTCATTGATGTATGTATTAATGCTACAGGGAAAGAGAGACAACACAGTATGTTCTGCTCCTTTGGGGCTTGCTTTCCACCTCTTTGTGTATTCTCTCTTAATATTGCATGTGTGCTAATTGCCTATTTCACTTTCATGGTTACTGTTCTGAAATTCAACCACACAGTCTGCATTTATTACATGGTTAAGGATAACTTATTAACATGGTGAGTGGTGTTAACTGAATACATCTAATTTTTGGAAAATTTCAGCTTTCAGTGCAGTCACAAAGTTAGATTAACTCATAGTCTTCCTTTAAAATAATTAAAATAGTTCTTCCAGCCAAGTTGGAGTGACAGGGATTGGTATCCTTTTACTTGAAATAACTAGGCAAAAAACATGAAACAGCAGTTTTTGAGGCATTTGCATCAGGCAACCCAAGACATTGATCCCTGAGAGACAGGAAACAGCTGAGAACTATGCTTGGTCTAGCCTGGAGAGTGTTTTTAGGCATGGAATAGTAGAGCAGTAGAACCCCAGAGAAGGCTAGAGACCTGCCTGAATTGAGGAGATGGTGCTGGGAGCCTGAGAAGCCAAGGCAGCTAGAGCTCATAGGGCAGATAACAGAGAGGAGAGAGCTGCAAGAGAATTTTATGGATCTGTGGAATTCCCTTCCAGGAATTCAGTTGAGTACTGATCAGTACATGCCTGTGAGGAAACTTATGTGCAATCAAAGGAAATCACTCAAAAGGAATACAGTTCTGAGAGCTCACACGTTAGGAATAGAGCCTAATTCACTGAATGTCAGGTAGAGCATCTCTAACATTCTAGCTTTCATGTTCGATATGGGTCTTTTTTCTATGTTTTTTACTTAAATTGCACTCAGTCTTTTCTCTAGCTTCAGAGCATATTACATTTACAATAACTTTTAATCCTCGTTTCCTAGTTTTATAAAAACTGTCCTTTCTGGATTGGTTTTGGTTGATACTTTTCATTTCTCTCTTATTTTCTTGTCTTTTTTTCTTGACACCTGCTTGGCAAATTAGTTAATGCTTGTAACAGAAGACATTGTAAATTATGCTTTGTTGGGTGCTGGATATTTTTGTATTCCTCTAAATGTTCTTGAAGCTTTTCCTGGAATGTATTTAAGTTACTTGGGAAATATTTAATCCTTTAAGGTATTCCTTATTAGGACCATTTAATATGATTCTGCTGTATTCCTGAGGCAGAACCTTTTTGAATACTTCACCTGATGCCCTGTGAGTTATGAGGTTTTCCATTTAGCTCACCATCTGTTTACAGATGTTAAATTGAAGATCAGGTCGTTCCTTCAGGGTTTGTTCTTAAGCTCTGCTGGCATCATCATCGATTAATCTGTATTCTGGGACTAATTCAGCCCCACTGAGGCCTCTACTTATTGTCCAGAGTATGCAAGGTTTCTCTCCTCTGGTTAGGTGCCACTCACATGTCCCTAGCTCTGAATGAATTGGTCATTTTTCTTAGTTCCCCAGCAGATTCCCCCTGCCCACCCCCCCCCACCTTTGCCTTATGGAGTTTTACCCCGTTGCTTCAGTGGTATTTGACTTTGCAACCCTATAGATCGTAGCCCACCGGGAGTTTTATCCTAAGTATGTGCAAATTAGCATGAAGCCAAAGACTCAAGAGAAGATGTCTGAAACTTTTTTCTTCATTACTCTCACCTCTCTGGTACAGTATTCCAGTAATAATTGCCATATATCCCTTCTGAACTCTGATGTTTGTCTTTTCATGTTGGTGACCCTGCTGTGCTCTCCTTTGAATCTCGCTGCCTGCAGTAGTTTCTGTAACATGTCTCTTAGCAGAAAGTCAAGGTGTCTGTAGGCTTATCTAGCTTGTTTTCTTCTCTCAGAGAATGCAGATCTGCACTAATTGTTGTCCAGTGTCTGGAAACTGTCCTGTCATCTGTTTTGCCTAGTTTTGCAGTTGTTTACTGACTAAAGAGAAATCTGGTACCAGTTACTTCATGTTGAAGTATAATACCATAATACTGAATTATTGTGGGAGGTTGGTGAAGTTTTGTGAAGGAATCACAATAAGCCTTGACTGATTTTGTAGTTAATGGCCATTTAAGAATTGTCAGTTTATGGGCCCTGGGAGTAGTTGACTTGGCAGTGGTTTGTCCTTTTCAATGAGAATTTTCAGAAGAGATAATGCAAATTGTAAAGTGTCAGTCGCTCAGTTGTATCTGAGTCTTTGGACTCCAAGGAATGTACCCTGCCAGGCTCATCTGTCCATGGGATTTCCCAGGCAAGAATACTGGAGTGGGTTGCCATTTTCTTCTCCAGGGCATATTCCTGACCCAGGGATTGAACCCGGGTTTCCTGAATTGCTGACAGATTCTTTACCGTAAGACAGTATGCAAATGTGCTTGCTTTTGGTTTAGAATTTTTTAATAAATGTTTTTATAGGCTCTTCTGTCTCAGAATAAATTTTTGACTCTTGGGATTTAGAATGAACATAGTTGGATTATTTTTGGGGAGATGGAACTGGTAATGATACTTCTGTATTATTTCTAATCATCACAAATTGGTTTCAATAGGCTTTGCTGTCATTGGAGAAAGACTACGTCTGACAATTTGAGAATAATCTCATGTTGTAACAACAGTAGATTAACTGGCAGAAAGACATGTTTCCATAGAGTGTTTTGTGTCTTTATGTTATTATCAGGTTTTTCTACTCAGTGAGCTGCACATATGTACACAGGGAACATACGATGTGTGAATCTTCATTAAGACCATTTCGCTTGTTGGTCAATCATAGTGATTACTTTCTGTGTGTCAAACATGTTACTAGATGATGGAGAAGAGGTGACAAAAGAAGGAGGTAGTGTTGCTAACCAGAAGACTATATGAGATGACACATATATCAGAGGAAACAGAGTATTCTTGCAGAGATGGAGTACGAAATGATTTTATCAGCTCTCAGGCAGGAATGAGGAGCTGCGTTTTGAGAAAGTTGATGAACATGCATTGATTAACAAAGGATAGGGAGGAAAAATCCTTTTAAAAAGAAGGAATGGTGTGTTGCATGGTGACAGCTGAGAATGACAGAATTGTTCTGTGGAAAGCAAGCAAATTAAATTGACTTGAATGAAAATTTATGTAGAATATAGTCAGAAATTAGACTGTAGAGCTAATTGAGGTATAGGGATATAGATGATTTCAAGCTTTGGTCTGGAAAGAGATGTTTCTGATTGACCTTATGTTAAGGTGTAGATAAAATTAAGAATTTTGTGTTCACAAAGCAGTTTTATAGGTGCAGATTTATTTTAAGATGAACTATGAAGCAAATTAAGACACTGAGTGTTACTGTGTTTGAATGTAATTTGCAAAATGAAAGGCTGTTTCTTAGTGGGATTTGAAAGGCATTGCTATTGTTCAGTCTCTCAGTCATGTCCGACTCTGCGACCCCATGGACTGCAGCACACTAGGTTTCCCTGTCCTTCACCTTCTCCTGGAGTTTGCTCAGACTTGTGTCCATTGAGGGGGTGATGCCATCCAAACCATTTCTTGCTCTGTTGTCCCTTTCTCCTCCTGCCTTCAGTCTTTGCCAGCATGAGGGTCTTTTCCAGTGAGTTGGCTCTTTGCATCAGGTGGCCAGGGTATTGGAGGTTCAGTTTCAGCACCAGTCCTTCCAATGAATATTCAGGGTCAATTTCCTTTAGGATGGACTGGTTGGATCTCCTTGCAGTTCAAGGGACTCTCAAGAGTCTTCTCCAACACCACAGTTCAAAAGCATCAATTCTTTGGTGCTCAGCCTTTTTTATGGTCCAGCTCTCACACCCATATGTGACTACTGGAAAAACCATAGCTTTGACTGTATGGAATTTTGTTTGGAAAGCAGTCACTCTGCTTTTTAATACGCTGTCTAGGTTTGTCATACCTTTTTTTCCAAGGAGCAAGCATCTTTTAATTTCATGGCTGCAGTCACCGTCTGCAGTGATTTTGGAGGCCAAGAAAATAAAATCTGTCTCTACTTCCATTGTTTCCCCATTTATTTGCCATGAACTAATGGGACCAGATGCCCTGATCTTAGTTTTTTGAATGTTGAGTTTTAAGCCTTTAAATTTTCACTCTTCTCTTTCACCTTCATCAAGAGGCTCTTTAGTTTCTTTTCACTTTCTGCCATAGGGTGGTATCATCTGCATATCTGAGGCATATTGAAAGGTGTAGCTTGCAGAATAAGTGAAGTGAATATGCAAAATTTTTACACCTTATGAGTGGCTACATAAGGGAAAAAAAGGGGACTTTAGAAAAGTATATAATAATGGTAACTGAAGTTTGAATAGGACTAAAGTTCATATTATATATATATATTTTTTGTTCCAGGTTGCTGCTTTTTCTAAGAGAGCACCCATGACTCTGATGGTGTTTCCAGTTTTGATAAAGAGTTCTATTGCAGTCATTGATTAACTGAACAAATTCAGGTTAGTAGATTTTATGGACAGTATTTCTCTTTTCCAATTATATGTTAATATTTTTAGAAATGGATAATTTTGTGTTTAAAGTTACATATGTATACACCAGTGAAGTAGAAAGGCCAAGTCAATTTAAACTCTTACTGAATTATGTACCTACCATGCTACCTATTATGTACAATTTGCAGTGCATAAAATGAAAAATGTTTTATTTCCTATTTAATAGTTTTTTACTCTAAGGTGCTAGGTAAGTTGTGGCTGAATATTGTGCACTGTACCTTTTCATTGTGTGGCATCTTTAGTGCTGAAAATAAACTACTCATCTTAAGATTGTTTGAAAC